TGCCGCTGTCGCTTTGCTATGCTAGCTGCGTGTGGCAATTTTGCTTGAAGAAGTTGGTGCCATTTGAGCTGCCACATCCTTTCGAAAGTGACTTCTGCTGACCAGATGTTCCACTTTGAAGTGTGCAGGGCCGTTGGAACAAAGCTTTGGTTGAAAAGATTGGCCTTGCCTTACTGCTCCAACTCTGGTCATTTTTTGGGCCCCGTGTTTTGGGATGAACTGCAGCATGAACCGCAAACCTTGTGGGTGCATTGGGAAGAGTCGTCAAACTGGTGATGGTCGAAATCAATTCTGGCATTTTTTCCATGATTTGAGCAGTTCGTTTAGTCAAAGCAACTGCTGTCATGATCCAGAATTCTCAGATACAGTTGCTGCATCGCGGGTGGCTGGATTCTTCCAGTGTGACTTGGCAGTGATGAGTCATACTCAGGAATACTACCTTGTTGATCCTTGTTTGGTATTGTGGGTCACGCACGGATTTTTGTGCTGGACTGGGCAGACGGTAGGTCTGTGATTTTCCGGACTGAGTCTCGGATGGGGGCGTGCGCACCCTCTCGCAATTTCAGAAGTGGTCTGACGGGCACTGACGAGCTTGAAAAAATAGATATAGAATAGATATATACGGTATATGTTTCCTTTTGCAACGCACTGTCTTAAGACAGTTCCTTTCCTTGATCCCCACAGTTTTCAGTGTGGATAGACAAATGGTTTGAAGCGATACGAATTTGAACAGGGTGCCGACGGGTGTCGGCTTCCAAATCTGCCTGGGAGGCCAGAAATGTGTTGCACCTTTTGCACCACCGAGACCTGCGTGTGTGCTTACCACCTGCGGCACTTCACTGCGAAGGCTTCGCAGCTGACGAATCAGATGTGTTCCAAGATTGTTTGAAGTATCCGTCGGTTCCGGAGATGCAATACCTCTCCGGACATTGCGAAAGTGACTTTTGCTCATAAGATGTATCGTTGATATCATGAATGAAATCTCGAATGTATGGGAGTTTACTTGATGTTCGCAACAGTTTGCTGAAGCCGGGGAAACGGATAGATCTTCACTGGCGACGTTCGTCGTGTAGAAACAGGTGTGAATTCAAAGTGGCACGGGCACCATGCCTTGCTCAGGTTCAACCTTGTCAGTATTTGGATGCTTTGCTTCCTTTTTCCTGCGACATGATTCCGTTTTAATAACTTTAATGATGTTCGACCTGATTTGATCAAGGCACTCAAGAAACATCCAGTTCAACACTTCCGGCGAGCTGTAGAGTGTGCAAATGTGCGGTATTTTGCTGCACAGGTTGCATATGTTAGCAGGAGGCGGTGAGATGCCAAGAACACTACTGCAGGTGTGTGACACATCGCAGGTCTAATCTGTGTGTCTCTGCTGTCAAACTAGTTTTGGTGTTTCAGATATAAAGCTATGGTATTTGGTGCGGGGATTGCCACCAGAAGGATAGGTGTATCATTTCATTTTCCAGGCTACTTGTAGTGCTGAGGAGCGCAAGCCGAGGCATGGTTGGCCAAGTGTGGAGACCAATTCGGGGACATTTTACAAGGAACATGTAGGATCGTACATGGAAGAGCCCATTTAGAATTGTCCGCAGCAGCTGCAACGCAGCTGGAGGTACTATTCAATAGCAATTTGCAGGGACCAGCAGGACGCTTGCCCTTGATGTTGACAGGGGTTGGGACTTGGTACCAGGTAGATTTGCAGGTTGATGCCAGCCAAAGAAACGTAATTGGGCAGTCTTGTCCTCATAGGACATCCCTTTCGATATTGGTTGGCCTTCAGTTCAGCCGTGGACAAGTAGGTAGCGGAGGCCCGGTTCTTGTAATACATGCTCCTCGTGCTCAGCACAGCAAGCTATGAACTGCGGAGACCGATGCCGCTGTCGCTTTGCTATGCTAGCTGCGTGTGGCAATTTTGCTTGAAGAAGTTGGTGCCATTTGAGCTGCCACATCCTTTCGAAAGTGACTTCTGCTGACCAGATGTTCCACTTTGAAGTGTGCAGGGCCGTTGGAACAAAGCTTTGGTTGAAAAGATTGGCCTTGCCTTACTGCTCCAACTCTGGTCATTTTTGGGGCCCCGTGTTTTGGGATGAACTGCAGCATGAACCGCAAACCTTGTGGGTGCATTGGGAAGAGTCGTCAAACTGGTGATGGTCGAAATCAATTCTGGCATTTTTTCCATGATTTGAGCAGTTCGTTTAGTCAAAGCAACTGCTGTCATGATCCAGAATTCTCAGATACAGTTGCTGCATCGCGGGTGGCTGGATTCTTCCAGTGTGACTGGCAGTGATGAGTCATACACAGGATTCAGCAGATGTTAAGCGGTTGTGAGTTTCATAGTGCCTTGTTTGGGTATGGTGGGTCACAGTTGCGGGGTTCTTTAGGTCTTTCACAGTTTTCCGCTGGAAGTGCCAAAATGCAGGCTTGTTGCTCCCATCGGTGCTTCAAGCCGTAAATGGCATAGTCCAGACTATCCGGCCTTTCACAAAATACCGTCGCTTTTCAACCTTGTTAGGTGTTGAGTTGCAGCTAGCTTGTTTGTTGAACTTACTTTGCGGCTTTTTGTGCGTCAATGACATACCACACAGTGCCACAGGCACTGTTGCAATGCGAAATTATGGTGGTGCAGAGGTTTGCCAAAATCGGGCTTGCCGTCCTGGTACGTCCATGAAGAATTCTGGGCTTGGCAAAGGAAACCAAACCAAAACTCACTGGCCAGACTTACTAAAGGGCTTGAAGCGTAGGCTAGCAACAATGACAAGCTTAGGTTTAACGGTGTTAACGGTTTAACAAACAGGACTGGAAACAGGTTCTCCCCCAAGGCTTGAGAGGCTGCAGACCAAAAAGAGGGGCGGCCACTAAGCTGCAGAGAATGCCGGTAAATTCAGTGCAAAATATGTGCAGTCCAAAGTTGTATTGATCAACTGCACCGTGAAGCCTTGCTGCAGTTGGCAGGTCAAGCAGACCTGCAGGATGATGTCAATGTATGTCAATGTCACAATTGCTGATCAACAGCATAGTATACTAACACACAACATGTTCATGAGGACTCTTCCTCGACCTCACCTCGGTGTTGCACTTCCTAGTGTAATTTGTGCTGAACAAGACCTAGCACTGGTGAGTGGCATGCTGCAGGTTGACAAAGGCAGAGTCAACGCATAATTTTGCTGCTTCCCTTTTCGCAGTGGAGTCAGATTTGAATTGGGCAAAAATTAGTCATTTGCTTAGAGCCGAGCAGGTGCACTAGAGCCCCTTTTTTTCCACACATGCTCCTCGTGCTCAGCACAGCAAGCTATGAACTGCGGAGACCATTTTTGGGGCCCCGTGTTTTGGGATGAACTGCAGCATGAACCGCAAACCTTGTGGGTGCATTGGGAAGAGTCGTCAAACTGGTGATGGTCGAAATCAATTCTGGCATTTTTTCCATGATTTGAGCAGTTCGTTTAGTCAAAGCAACTGCTGTCATGATCCAGAATTCTCAGATACAGTTGCTGCATCGCGGGTGGCTGGATTCTTCCAGCGTGACTGGCAGTGATGAGTCATACACAGGATTCAGCAGATGTTAAGCGGTTGTGACTGTCCAACCGCCAATCATAGTTTTTTCTGCCAGCAATCTTCAAATCATTTGATTTCACGGGCATGCGACCAGGCATGAAGTGGGTAATATCCGGGACAGGAACTCTTCCTCACCAAAATTTAGCTCTTACATCTTGATGGCTGCTAATAGCCTAATGCCCCTGTGGAAACTCCAGAATGCGTCGCGCAACATGTTGGTTGCGGGCTTAATGAGCTAATTTCAGAATGCGCTTCCCCGCTAGAATCGGCTAGAACAACTCAATGCTGAGCTTTTCACATGGCTTTGGTTGGGCCTTTCAGGAAACTAGAGGAACTGCAATATGACCCGCTTCACACTCTCTTAGCAAAACTTCTCTTCGCCAAGCGATCCCCCTAAGTTATCCCGTGCAGAGAATTTTTGTGAGCTGTTTCCAAGTCAGAAAGGGCATTGGTCCTTCCAAGTGAGCCAAGAATCCATGGGGTTATTCGACTGTGATCATGCTTCCGCACATCCATTCAATCATATTTGTCTGGCTGAGATTTGACCTGGGGAGAGGGCCTTCACGAACTTTGCACGGGGAGGGTGGGGCAATTTGGGCCCTTTTCCGGGCAGGTGAATTGTGGCCTTTGACTGGGAGGTGCAGGAAGCTTGAGGACTGTCGAAGGCATTTGGCATTTCAAGTCGTGAGCTTGCAAGATCATTTCCAGCCTTGGCCAGATGGTAATCGCAAAGACCGCCATCCACTCTTGCCTGCCGTTGCTGTGCTTCAGCTGGCAGCTTTGCTTCTAGGGTGAACAGTGAAGCTGCCTGCTCCATGATGGCATGTGAGGAGTGCACCCTCTAGATGGTAGCCTTTTGGGGCAGTTCGGCTGGGAGATTTGATGTTTGACATAGTGTGACCAGCCAGTTCGGACTAGACTTTGACCGACAAAGTTGACCTTGAATACCTTGACATCGATCTTGAGGCAAGCTGTGCCGCCGAAGCTAAAGCGAGGCCGATGCCGTCCAGCATGGTGCCAGGCGACTTGACGCAGTGGCAGAGCCTTGACCCACCTGCCTGCCGCTGAGCTGCCTGCTGTGACTGCTGTAACGGGAGACTACAATGACTACATGACCTCTGACAGACTGTAGACAGGCTTTCGAGGAAGATGAGGAAGTGTCTGGAAGTGAAGCATGCTGTTGGTTCACGGGCCAAATGAATGGATCAAGGCCTGTTGGACGTCAAAGTTTCTTGGTGTTTGTAAGCCAACTTTCTTGCAATGTTTGAGAAATGAGAAATGTTTTCTGGAATTGTAGCCTCCCAGACTGGACAGGGCCAGCTCAGACTGCGCAGGGTCAGCATGTGCCGTGGTAGTTGGGCCTGTGGCAAGATGGTGCTTCAGAGTGGAATAAGCGATGATGACATGGGAATGTACCCTGCAGGAAGGGCAGCAATAGGCTCGCTTTAAGCCTGCAAGTTGGCACAGCAATTGAAATTCGAGTGCGCAACTGAGTGTACCATACTGAGTCCACACTGCACTGGTATTACCTTGAAGTCCTCCGACGTCAGCTTTGGTGAATGGCGCCAAGTCATGGCCACAATCCCGCTGAATTCAGCTGGAAGACATCTTTTCCCTTTTTTGTGGGGATTGGTTCATTAACGAACCGAAGGTCGACCTGAGCAAAGTGTAGTAGACAGCAAGATTTGCTCTGAATGGAGCGCGAATGTGCGTGAATTGGATTACCTAGCGGTTGGAGGTAGTGTCCTCCAATCAAGACTGATCAAATGTGCTGCTTCATTGACACCACTACAGCATTGCATGCATGATGACGCGAGGGCATAAGGGTTGCGGAAGGCAAGACTTGAAGCAACATGAACCCTTGCAACTTAGGGATTGTGATGTCTTTAGATTAGACTTGGACGGATTGATAGATGTCCTTATCCCACTGGTTGGTTGACTAAGAGAGGGCTCTGGAGTAAAATTTCACAAAAAGGCGTGACAGTCGTGACAGTCGTGACATCTTCCAGATGTGATGTGCATTTGCCAGGCTTGCCAGGCTTGCCAGGTCGGGGTGAAGCCGTGAAACGGCGAAGCAGGGCGGTGTGTAAGTGGACCAAGTGGACCAAGTCGACCGAGTCGACTCAGATGCAGCCAGAACTTCGGTTTCTGCATCATCATCTAATTTCAAGGGCTGATGGGCACTGATGGTCTGATAGTACAACTGGAATTGGCACTGGTCACACGTCGCAGAATTGTGCACACAAACATACAAAGAAAGCAGACCTGTTGATGTTTTGCCTAGACAGGGGCTGATGTACCTTGCCAGTTTGAGCACAATAAGACCGCGACAATTGCAAACAGTTGCAAGCACTGTTTGCAAGGTGAACCGTTTCTCAATGTTGAAAGATGCCATCCGGCATTCTCCAAGCACGAAATGCAGGGCGTCCTTTTATGCAATGGAATCACGGGGCTCAAGAGTTCTTTGGGGATTGGAGAGCTGGATCTGTTAGAATTTGGGAGCAGGGTCTGGGACATTTGGCACTCAAGAAATGTCAAGAGTACTTGAATGCATTTGCCTTTTATGATGCTCAAATCAGTGGCTGCCGTGCTCTGTGCTCCCTGCACTTGTGTCATTGAAACCATTAGAAAGGGCTGACACTGGTTTGTCCAGAAGATTTCCATTGACAGTTGCCACAAAATTGTGAGACCATGTACTGTAATTATCGGGTATCTGTAGCTGTCATTGTAACTTTTCCAGACTGTGTATATAACAGATAGGCTGCTTGCTTTTGCCGATTAGCTTTGCTTTGCATTTTGCGGTGTGAAATATCGTAATGTTGCACGTCCGGTTGGCAAAGCCAACGGCCCAAAAGATGCCGCGCTTTCCAGCGCTTCAGTTGGTGAGGGTATTTGGACGGCAAGCCGACATGCATGACAAGCAGGAGCGCTTCGCTCAAGAAAAGGCTGACTTGCTAGGTCGAAGAGACAAATCTTCAAAGGGAGATTGGGATGCTCCGATTGTGCCTCTTCTAAATGAGATCAATAGCTATGATCAGTACTGCACGCTGAGCTCTTGCAGTGGTCGCGCTTTTCTATGGCGTCCAAGCCGGGAGAAAGACCCCAAAGAGCCTCAGCAGAGACTTTTGCCAGCGAAGGGCAGCTTTTCTCGGACGTGGCGTTTTCACATTTGCCATTCCTTCGATGAATGGAGTCCGGACAATGCAGTGGCAGGACTTCCGACTGAACATGTTGCTAGGTATTCCTTTGGAAGTGAAAGAGGGCTTCATGTTGATGCAATTTGGGCTCGCTTTGAGCCATTCATTCTTCATGTCGCGTGCCGCTCATTGGAGGATGCGTTTGAACTAATTGACATCTCTCGAAGAGCCTTTCCGAAGTCATCATTGCTGTCCTTCCGGAAACGCTTTGTGGTTCAGGTGCCTGGAGAAGACTATGTTGATCTGCCATATTGCTTTCGGGATCCCGACTCTTTTAATGCATCCGATTGGGCCGGGTTTTCTGGCTACTTAAACTATGTGATTCAAGACAAGTTCCAGATGAATAGTCATCGGATTGGACTCTTCAAAGAAGATTTGAAAAGTCAAAATGCTCCTGTTGTATTGGTGATGAAAGTGTCCTGGGTTTGGCATTTTGGATTCACATGAGCCTAAGTTGGGAATGTTGTTTGCTATTGTTTGCATTTATTTGCTGATTTGAACATATTTGAACAAGGTTCTTGTTTGATTGAAATGGGAGGGCCTGCCTAGCAGGCCAAGCAGCAATTTGGCGAAAGACCCGAAAGTGGAGTTTTCGATCGACGCTATACTTTGGGACCACATTGCATGGGCCATACAGCCATTTTTTCTGGGAATCTTTGCAAACCGCATTTGGATTCTTGTTTGGTATTCTTTGGCCATGCCAAGCATTGGGGTTGAACATAAAAAAACCTTACTAAACCACGGTATTGCTGGTGAAACTGGAAGCCATGGAAAACAACACCACGACCACTGGAGGGGGGTCACATGCTCGGCCTTCGCTTTTGATTTCATTGGATCAAATTCAGACCCATGATTGAGTGGGTGAAAAACCAACCGTTTTAATCCTAGTATGTTTGGTGGGAACCAAGAACTGAAAACTATTATATATATAGCCTGAAATTAATACACTTGGAAGTATGAGCGTTTGATGGAGTTACCACAACAAAAATTGTTCAACATATATTCCAGAGGGAAACTTTGGAAACAGTTTGGAATTCTCACTGTTTTTTGGAACAACCCGACAAATTCACCCACATTATTTTTTTCCAGGGGGAAACGTCAACCTCACTATCTGTAGTGGCCGCGGCTGCCATGCACGTGGCTGCATGACCTCTATGAAGGCACCAACCGGGAAGGGTGACAAAGCGCTGTTTCCACCCAAAGCTGCGAAAGCAGGTTAACTGAGAATTTTCTCCCAGTTTTCAAATAGAGCCTTTGGCTCATCTGGCCCCAAGTGACCCAATGGAATCTTTGATAAACCAAATTCAAGCCACTTTTTTTAAGAGGTGCTACCACAAAGGGTTTTAAAACCATAGCCACAGGTCCTATCCCAACAGCACTTGGTTTAAGTTCATTCCATCCGGGTCTCCGTTTTGGAATATTCCCGCAAATACATTGCGAGGCAAAGGAGGTATCTCAAAAAAAGGCGTTGGATACATGTTGCCCCATGACATCGAATGGCTTTACGTTTGAGTTTTTACTAAGAAGCTCTCTTCATCAAAATTCTGGAACATGGATGGATTGAGACGAGTTGTCTCAATTTCATCGGCAACGTGAAACAAGTAATGGGTCTTGCATCGCGTTTTGAACATCAACATGAGTCTTTCATAGTGGTACGATGCCAGCCACAGGTATGTTTTCAAATGAACTCTCAAGCATTCACTAGCTTCAGTCGCTTCGGACTCTGAAAACACCAGCCCTGAATTGTCCATGAGCTCCACAACCCGTTGCATTGAGTAGCAGCAGGTTCCCAACATGTTCAGAACCGGGTCCTGGGCAAACAGAAGGAATTTAATGCTAAAAAGTTTATAATTATAAGAAGAAACCTATTTGGGATAACTTCAACAGACATCTAACGTCATAAGAAGTACCTTGTGGAAACATGACAAAACTATTCTTTAATCCAGACAATAGGACAGAACAAGGAACCTCGGGGTTCTGATCTGCAAACTCCGTTGTCTCCAGTGCAAGCCACCAGAGCATGACTTTGATGTGGGAAGCTTTGAACCGTGTCCCCAGTTCAGCAAACGAATCAGGCCCCCCAATGTTTGCCAATGTAAGGCATGGCTTGGCCGGAAGATAGAACCTTTGACTGGGTTTCAAGGTATGAAGATGTATGGAAAAAGTTCCCATTCTTTTTCTATGCGCTTACAACCCACCCGGTATAATGGATCAAGAAATGAAGACTCATTGGCTATGAAAATCAAGGAACCCATGCTTTTTGCAGGTCTCACGCATGCTTTTGTGAACACTGTGAACGCCCGCCAGGATGTCATCCATGTCCGTTGCACCTTGCGCTTCGGCTGCAAAGCGACCCTGTTGGATCAGCACCCGAATACCTGGGAAGTATGGAATGATTGGGCATACACCCAATCGGGTCAAGATGGTTTATTGCAGGGTAAGTTATGTCCGTATGTATATGCATTTGAGACATGTGGGTAAATCTATAATTATATATATATATACATATGATTAGATGATAGATGTGTATTTGTATCCCCATACCTCTCTATACAAAGATTGGTTTACACACAAACATGCCTGTGTGTAAAATGGAATTTCAACCTGTGAGTAAACTATATTGCCAAGCGACCACTGGCACACAAGTCTCGGGCAGTTCCGAGGTAAACATGATGCAGCCCGTCATGGGAGATTGTGAGGAAATTGAACCCCCAGCTATTTTTTCCCATATATAGGGACATCCATCTCCTGTCGAGAACCTGGTAGGTTTCATGGCTGATGTTCGTCACACCCCAAGCCGCAGTAGGACCCACATTCCTGTAGTCCATAGGTGTTGGGCATCTATCCCCCTGCAGTCCGAAGCATCTATCGCAAAACCTGGGAGGATGGGCGATTGAGGTAAAACCAGGATCCCTTGTAATTTTGAAAACCCGAACTTTTTCTGGTGGAAATTGTTCCAGACACACCAAATAAATTTTAACCAAGAAACAGATTGCATTTGTACCACCTTTGCAAGTTATGCATCTGATGGCGAGCTTTCAGATCTGCCTTGAACGATACATAGCACGCCCTTAGATCGGCCACAAGCCCACAAAATTGTAAACATGTTTGATCCGGGTAAAAACCATCCCCCATTGTAAACCACCATGGCAAATATTTAACTAGGCTCACCATGGATTCCCACATCAAATGAGCCATTGCATTTCGAGGAAAGCAACACAGAAAGGTTTTGTAACAAGTAGGGACTGGGAATCCTCCACCCCTTGGCCAATTCTTTACCCTTTTGTTTGAAGCGAGTTGTCCCTGCACTGAATGCTTCCCCTTGGAACCCATTGTGAGGCCATTTGCCTTGGCCTGCAAAATCCATGGACCATGCAGTCAGTTCTGCGATGCGTTTGTGCACCTCGTCTCGAACCTGTGGTTTCGGGGCAGGGAAAAATGTGGCAGGGTATAGACGGTCTTTTCTATTTCTGGTCATATAATGGGAACAATGGTGAAAAACCATAAAACACAAAACCTTAAACACGGTGAGTAACAGCTGATTTTCTCATCCATCTTTCAGGAATCACAGCGATGGGGAAACGACTCATGAGAACGTCCTTGATGGATCCTTCAGTGGAGAAATTTTGAGCTCCAAGACCACACGAAATATTCGTCTTCCTTGTAGAATTCACACCCGTCACCATGGATATGGATGCCTATCAACTTTTCCCAATTTCCATCACTAATGATCGGGATTGATCGGGTGTTTTGCCCAAGGGTCCAAATTGGAACCATGTTGCCAGAAGGCCACACGATCTTCATCTGAATGGTGCCCCAACATGACGCTGTCAAAGACATACTTGCATGATGAAGACATGGCAGCAATCACTTCATGGGGAAGCAAAACTCGGATGGCTGTAGGTCGAGCGTTGTTGTTGCACCCATCTACCTCAATGGAAGCTGACAACAGTAACTATTTGAGATTGTCATGCAACAGATTGCAAACATTGAATACGATTAAGATGAAACTTTTGGCACCCCAGTCCTGCAGAGGAACTGATATGCTGTAGGTTTGGAGTGAAAACCCCCACAGATTAGACATCCATCTATGGAGGTCCCTCTCCTGATTCCCAGCATGGTTGCCAGACGTGCCAAGGCTGGCAAAAGCCTCAAGCGCTTCGTTTGGAAGCATGTGGTCATCAATCAACCTGGGAGGCCGGGCTTAATCTGGGTCAATTTTGGAAATGTGAACCAGACCGAATCCCTATTTTATAGCAAAAGAAAACTTAATTACTTTTCTCAATGTCAGCTGCAGCTGAAATGGATATCTGACCTCTACCAATCAAGTCGGCAAACTTCGACACAGTTTTCGATTCTGTCAAATCTTCAAGTCGCCTTCGTTTCCTGACGGCCAGATAGAACATTTGAACATTCAGAGATGCCCGTACGAGAAGGAATTTGAAATCAACTTCAAAACTTTTCAGACCCTCTGTTTCCAAGATGCTGGCAGCACTGTGTTATCAGCCTATTGCAGGTCTCGCCTTGCAGACCCACTGCTGCAGGAGCTTAAGCCTGTCAGTGCTGTGGGAAGGGTATATACTCTCTATCTGTAGGGGAATAAATATGCTGTGGAGTGGTCATGAAAGACATCGAAATTCTGAAATAAGGATGACGAACCCTTATGCTGTGGAGTGGTCATGAAAGACATCAAAATTCTGAAATAAGGATGACGAACCCTTAAGTCATGTTTTCCACTGGATCGCGCCTTTTTTTCTCTCATCGGTCCATGACGTGTCAAAGTCTTGTCGTTTGGATAGCAGCTTGGAACCCCGGCACGATCACAGCATGCAATGGGCTTATGGGCCCGAAGCACGGCAATCCCCAGGGTCAAAACGGATGCAAATGTTCATCACTTGCAACACCCCGTTTTCTCC